AAAATGGTTCAGTATGAGTGTCGACTGAGAAGTACCTGTCGGATAGAGTTGATCTGACAGACAATGAAAACATTGAAAAACGACTCTTATTGAAATAACACAGTATAAATTTGTTTCGGGGAAATTTAAATGAATACTAAAAATGGCTACAGATTGATTAAACTCGACAAGGAATGAACTACGCGGTGAGAACTACGACGGATATTAGTCAGACATAAACACACATCGATAGAAATAAGCACTGGTTCTAACCGAATAAAACTGAGTGGTGAAAATTTCCTTAGTTATATAAGGATGTGAGAAACACTAACTGACACATCCGGGGCAGAGTAAAACTAGGTCATTGTTTTCCTTTTGCTAAGCGCACCGATTGAGATTCGAATATATCTCAGCTATGACTGAATTTGAGACAACTAAGACACAGATCGATCGACAACTATTTTTCCTTTCTCCGTATTGTGAACAGCGCGTTCTACTTTTGTGTCCCTGTGAAGAATTGAACTGCTAACCTTCGGGTTTAGAGCCGAAACTCTTACCTCTGAACTATATGGTGGAAGAACAACAATTTGACCGCACAGATACATGCATTAAACCTTCTCCTGGTTTACCTATGCACAATCACAGACACCATGATTTACACACCGTTATTACGGTTCGAGTCAAACTACTTACGGATGAATGGACGAATTCCTCCAATAATCAAAAGGAGATTTCCTCCTTTGTGATACACCAACCAGCAAATGTTTTGCACTTCATGTTGGGTCTTCTTTGGAACGCGTGATGGACTTTTATTGCACATTCTCGTATGATGGACAGTATAAGCAATAAATTTCAATTTCTAGGGTCTAGTGTTCTCTGATGGTTACCGGTCATCTAATCCCTGGGATTTGGATTGGCGAACAGCGTAAGGTCCCCAATTAAACTGTTGTTTCATTGAACCGAGGGCAGAGAAGCAACATAACATCAACCTCAGACATCAACATACTCTACGTATCAGTTTCCCTCATTAGTCAGTTCCGCATGACGCCAAATTAGTGATTCGAATTCGACGGGGATGGTCACTCACGAAAGACAAAAATGCGTTGCCGTCAGTTGAGTACAAACCGAAACGCTAAAGTGGGTTGATCTCTAGGTTGCATCTCACCCTCATTGGTTCGCTGGCTCCACGCCGCTTATTTAATTCAACATTGTATACGGTAGAACTGCAAAGTTTTCAAGCTTTTCTTTTTCTTCGTGGGCTGAACAGAGCGACAGTTCAACAACCTGTTGTTTAAACATGTTCCCAAAGCAGAAGATGTAATTGAGGTGAAGTCTGCTACACAGAAATGGCAGTCGAAACTACAAGACCCCGTCATCAACCATAGCTCGACATCTGAGGATGAAGCAACACCAGATCCACCGAAGCACGGCGTTTCGGATTATCTACAAAGCATAAATCCCCAAACTGCTAAGTGATTGTTATCAATCAATGGAAGCCTTCATAGCCAACAAAAAGAACTTCATGTTAGCTTGTCTTTGCACCGGTCCTTTTACCCCTCCCACTTTTGTGTTTTACTTTAATTTGTTGCCAAGCTGAAACCCTATATAAACAGTACTTTTACTGCAGTATGCACTATAATGAGATGCAGGGAAATCTTCCTGGGTGTATAGCGTGCAGTTTGGGAATGTATTATTCTCTTGTGATTTACATATATATATATATATATATATATA